ACTGAAGTATACGTGTATTGTAACTGCAACAAATCCGTAAAGACTGACAGCAAATGAGATGTTTGTAAAAACTGTGTAAAATTTTTTATGCCTATTTAAGTAGGTCAAGCAATATACTTTCAGATAGTTTCAACAACACGGATACAAGGCAGAATGGCGCTGAACATGTTCACGCGTCTTTCAATCAAAACACCGCAGAATATGGCGAGCAGGCGATTTACATTTATTCTTTAAGTATATCCGAGGAAGTTGAAGCACTAAGAAGTCCTGAACGAATGAATGTGTACAGGCGAATGTGCGATGATATTTGGAATGGAAAGTGCTGCAAAGGCAGGAGCCCCCATATTTCTCGCCACACAATAAAGTGTGTGCGAACATGGTGTGGCACCACAATCTATCCCTCAGATACACTTTGATGACCCACCTTTATGTCATGTGAATTATGTGTAGCGCGTAATAATGTCATCCCAGACCGAGCAAAGTGTAGTCATTTACTGTACAGGCTACATAGGACTAGGTTTTACAACTCACAGACACTTTCCAAACCCAACGGTACGTCTTTCTTATAAGTCTCTTAGGCCGCAGATCGTCACCCGAAGAAACTGTTGGAACATATTCCTGAACACGGAATAATCCGTTGCTCACATGGCCCTCGATCATTTCTATTCCAGATAGTCCGAAAGAAATCCTGGGACTGGCGTCCAAGTGATGAATTCAGTGCACCCAACAAATTCACGGTCCCTGACAGATGCCGTACCTTACACATACAGTACCACACTGCAAGTATCACAGGCAACCGGCTTTAATTAAGATCGATCTTGTTCGCGTCTGTCGAGGAAAAAGACAATCCTAAAGCAGCCGCCATCACTCTCCTCGGTTTGTTTGAATTTATAAAGAATTTGCTTCAGATGGTGCAACAGCTCACAGAGCTTTCAACTTTTATCCACGACGGCACTCTTCGCTGAAGTTTATTTTATCTCGATGAAATTCTTTTAGCCACTTCATCCGAGGTAGAGCACATTGCTTATCTGCAATCCCTCTTCCAATGCTTGACCCAACAAGCCGTACGGTTAACCAGATTTAATGCAAAAGTGACAAGGAAACGGTAGAATTCCTGGACCACCTCATCTTGTCATCTGATACTAAGGTGCTTGCAGGCATGATCCAAGCTATTAAGTGCTACTCGGCTGCGATTTCATTCGAGGCGCTCCGTGGACATTTTAGCCTATCCACCTGCTATCTGCGTTCTATCCTCCGATGCACTAAGTTCATGCAGCCCTCGAATGATTTCCTTACGATGAACGAGTCTACATTTGTTTTCCCTAATACGACACGCATAGCTTTAACGGAGCTCAAGGTTGCTATTGTCAGCAAAGATCTCCTCACTCACTCGTCTTTTGATTACAACTGACGCTTCAGACTTCGAGGTATTAACTGTCCTCCAACAACGCGTTGGAGCGGTGGCAACCTCCCGGCTTCTTTGCCAAACGACCGCAATCAGTAAATCCTGCAACAGCAGATTTTGCGGAGAAGCGCTTGCTATGCACTTAGCTAACCGTCACTTCCGACACACATTAAAAGGCAGCGCTTTCACGGTTTACACTAACCATATGCCTCTCATCTTTGCCTGCTACTCATCTTCTGACAAAAACCATAACAGGAAACTAGACTCCTAGGGTTTATCGTGCAGTTAACTGCTGACACAAGTCATGTCACATGTGTTACCAACTCCGTCGCTGACGCTTGCTCTTGCGTCAACCTCAGTTTTCACTATTTGTCTGCCATTGATCTTGCTGCCACGGCATCGACTCAGGCGCAAGATGAGAGGCTTCAACACACTGCAGTCCATTTCACTGTATGTGAAAGCCGTTCCTCCGCGAACCACGAAACGAAATATCCGTTGTGAGATTTCAACAAATTATCGAACACCCCTCGTACATTCCTCATCCAAGCGCACAGTCTGTGACACCCTTCATGTAGTCACCGTGCTTTTCGGTGGGCTGTGTAAAGATGTTCGTAACTGACCTAGAGCTTGTCTTCCCTGCCAGTGCTCCAAGGTACAATGGCACATTCGCAGTCCCCTCAGCTCACTCCCTGTCCCTAAAGCTCGTTTCTCCTACGTACGCTTGAATCTGGTAGAACCTCTGCACATGGCTACGTACACAAATTGACACGCGTCGATCTACGTCACTAGATGGCCAGAAGCCATTCCTGTACCAGGCCGCACAGTTGAAGCTATCATCCGTGCCTTATTGGACCGTTGGGTGTCTAAATACGGATTCCCACCCACCATCACAACAGACCGTGAAACGAATTTAGACTCTTTGGAATTAGATGCATTCTGCAAATTCTTTGGCTTCCGCCATATTTGCACGACGGCATACTACCCTGCAGGTGATGGTTTGGTAGAACGCCTTCAAATACAGCCTAACTCTTCCGTTTGTGCCACTTGTGACCCTAACTAGAGCGAAAACACTTCATTCTTACTTCTAGGTATTCGCAGCGGCATTAAAGATGACCTGCAGTGGGCGCCAGCAGAGTTGATCCCCGGCACAACAATTAAAATGCCAGGAAAATACATTCCGCCAGGTACAACATCGTGTAGATCACCAAGTAAATTCGCATCCTCCTTCTATAGGCGTATGCGTTTGCTGCGCTTAATCACTCCTCGTGAGCAGAAGAGACGTACAAATGCACAACAGACGCTATATCTGCACTCACGCATTTGTTCACATAGACGCAGTGTGCCGTCCTCCCCAGAGTTATCAAACGAATTCCGGAGCACCGTAGGTAAGAATGGCCCCCGAACAACCGTATCCATCGACCACCTGAAGGTTGCTTTCTTCGAAGATCTGTCTCCAACTTCATTTGTTATGACCGCACCCATACACCCACCTGCAGCTGCATCATCTTCAAGATTCCGCTGTTACTCTTGACCCTCTACTCAGCTGTCCTCAACCCCGGGCACGGTAGGCAGGTCAAACGTCTGACACGCTTTCGGAATTTTGTGGAGGTTTGCTATTCGCTTTAAAATGCGTTTTTCTGCTTTTGTGGCAACCTTGTGTTTTATTCAAACTTTTTGAAAAATAACAGAAAAATCCAAAAGGTTTGAAAAACCAATACAGTGTACTCCTTTTTACTTGGTACGCCTGTTCGTATTCCATACGGCATCACGCCATTTGTCCAAACCGCCTCCATGACTTTTATATTCCAGCATCCCAGTCACCCGAATAACCGTGGTGTCCTCTGGCCCACTAGCCCGCAACCCCACGTACGGCACTCTGAGTCCGAGCGACTGCCATTCCCCCTTCTACGGGGACAAAGGCGCTGGATTGGCCTGCGAGACCTTGGTTATGTTGTCCGCATAAAAGCGCGGATTTCATTACGGGACGAAGATCATTTTGGCCATTGACTGGTGGGCAATGAGGGGGGGGGGCGACACCTCCCCAGTGAACAGCTGTGCCAACACCGGGGGAAATGTTCCCTCGGCCTTTCTTCGGACTTGCCAGCTTTAGCAGTCTATGGAGTCCACACCGATGGCTCACGGATGCACCTCAGTCCACAACCAAATAACCCTAAATAATAAATATTCAGCAAGCCTGGACCCAGCGAACTCCTCACGTTCTCTTCCTGTAGTGTATGCGCTCACTCCATCTGCTGCCCTACTTTCTTCATTACATCTTCCCACCTGAGATCTCTATCGAAGGCCACCCTCACTTAATCTTACTGAAGTAGACCCCTGTAGTGAATATTGAGTACTGGGAACAGAGAGTAAGAAGATACAAATGTGTGTTGCTCCGTCTTAGGTGATCGGGCACATGTGCGGAATCACGTCGCTGATTCCTGCTCGGTGGTAGCATATCGTAGCTGCACTAGATCATATCCGGGTGCGAAACGCTGCATATATCTGTAGTCCGCAAAGTGGGCGTCAAGGAATCTCTTAAATTCTGACCCCGATTTCGCCTCGACTAGGGACTCCGACAACTTGTTCCAATATTTTACCACTCGATGCTAGAAGCATACAGGGTAAGCAATACGCATTAAATCCAGTACCACCAGTTTGTATCGGTGTCCACTTATGCTGCTTGGTGTGCGAATATGCAGCAGCGACCTCAACATAGGGATGTGGCCCCGGTGCAATATCTGGTGCGTCATATGATATGACAGGGTATAAATCTCTAGTCACTTACATTGATCCTCGCACGGCATACGCCGTAAACTGTGGATGAGCCTGGCAGCTAGATGCTGGACCCGCTCCAGTCTCTGCACCTCACCTATCGTGATCAGACAATAGGCGGGTGAGCCATACTCAAGTACCAGTTTTACATGAAAGAGAACAGACAAGTAGAAATCTCTTCAAACCAATTTCAGAAGCTGCCACGAATTGCTCAACGCAGTCGTGGTCCGTTTGCGTACAGTCTCTTCGTGTTGTCAACAGACTTCAGATCACAGCATGAGAGTGCGCCTAGAGTCTTTACGGAACTGCTGGGATGCAGCAGGTGGCCGGCCAGTGTGTACGAACACTCACTAGTACCTCTCCCCAGGCTCATTAAGGACTTGGACGCGTTGACCCGCAGGTCAGTCTTTACAGACCACCGAGATAGATGGTCGAGGTCCAGTTGAAGTAGGTCACAGTCGTCGGGAGAATCAGGAACCCTCCAAATCTGCAAGTGATCTGTGAACAGTGCACAAGGCGACCGAAGAACCATTTGCGCTTTCAGTCCTGTGCGACAGTGGATTTTAGTGCTCTTTGCACCTGCTCCAAAATTTGTTTTACTGATTACACATCCCTTCCCATGCTTTTCCTCGGTGGGTCGTGTTGCTACGCTGTTCTCTGCTCTTACTTACCTGAAGTTCATGTTTTTAGCTCTTCGAAATACACGTTCGGTCCAGTCGAACTGGTTGTTCTCCGTACTCTGATAATTGATACCTCTCTTGCGCGTCATCGCTTACAACTAGTATCTAAATAGCCCCCCATAAGTATCACAGAGAATTAAGGGTTCTCGCAGGGCCCACTAATGTTTACTTGACATTTCGCATTTACATCATCAGTTGCATCGGATACCTCTGATCAATGTGAAACCTTTGAACAGAAGTAGTGCAGCTACGAGCACACATAGACCGGAGATAGCAAGGTCCATTTTGGCAATTAGGGACGGTTTTTCGAGCTGAAGGATCATTCTCTGAAACGGAAAAGGAGCAAATGGTTATTTACGATTCATCTCATTTAAAAAATGAATTTTTTTGCTTGTCAACCATTTTTTAAAATACAATCCTTTAGTAAGGCCGTGGACATATGCCGCTCAGTCTGAGCCTCAATAGTGACTTGATGGTGCTCGGAGACTAAGCGAATAACCCAGTTAGAGCACAACAATGACATGCGACATATGACGAAGTTGTAGCATCAGAAAAAGAGACTAAACACAGTCATCTTTATCAAAACTTAGTGCCAGCATTTACCTATATCCACTGGAAAAATTAATCAGCTTCAATATTTATGAGAGGACAATGAAAACCACTCATTTTCGCGTTGTATACGTTGATTTGTATCCATTTACATGACATTAACACGTGAGATCACGTGACTTATCTGTCACGGATTGGTCCAAAGCGGTTCAACTGCTTGGATTGTCACAAATCGCTTTGATCATCGTCGTAAATGCGAAGCGGTTTGTCGTTTAAACATTACTTTTTGAACGCTTACCTTTCTTTCTTTGCGTCTTTTCTTGTATACTCCTCACAGTAAGCATGCAACAGATGTTTTACTTTGCTACTGGTGTGTGTCACATCTACCTACTCATTAGTTGTTTCGGCGTGCTTCGGGGACAACTCAGCCTCCGCGTTGATAGATCCGCATCTTAATACAGACTGTGAATGGGTTTTAGGATTCATGCGCCCGGACGCTAAGCGGCTACGAGAGCGGAACAGTGAACATCCCTCCGTAACGCCCTGGAAGACATTGGAGCAAATCATCTTAGTAGCACTCTGGCACTCGGTCTATCTCACTGTTTGTTCAGCTCATGGAAATTGTTCCCGGCCTCACTATGGTGGTAATGGTGGGGAGCACAAAGGTAAACTAACCTCAAGTCCAGTGGCATAATCAGTCCTAGAGGCGTACACACTTAGCCGTCACTGTCATGGAATCCTAGGAGTGGTTATCAAAGATAGTGCCACAGGGTGCCACGTTTACCAGAATGCATTTTCCAATCTTAGAGCTAAACGGAGTGTTGTTTGAAAGACTTGTTACGGAATAGCGGTATTGCATACACTCAGGCTGCGATCTGCTCACGCAGACTTGATGCGCTAAGTTTGCCTAGATTTGTGCTACTTCCGCTGACCGTCAACCTACTAGAATCAAATGTACTGTATTTTGATCACTAACTTGACTATAGCAACAATTTAAAGTGAAGGAATTGAAAAGATTACTGGCTCCGTTCGAGTCAAGTTAACTAATTGGTTGATACGCTCTCGGCGGGTGAATATTCAGATCCAACACACAATTTGCCAGCAAAGTAAGCACAGCAAAACCAATCACGAAACAAAAAGCGGTTTACTAAAGGATAAACAGGAGCGTCATCATCTTGCGAAACGATTTGTTATTTTTACGGCGACGGAGTAAGGCACTATCAAAAAATGGGATAGCTAAGGGGTTACTGACAAGCGACAG